ATAATAATTCATTGGATATATAGAGGCTCAATTTTTAGGAGTTTCTTAACAGTTTTGAGGAACTAAAGTGGAAAAAGCTAAAGGTGAAATACATTTTAAAACTAATTTTTACCTATATATATAAAGTGGAATACACTCAATTAGTAACATTTTCTTGTAAATGTGATCACTTTTACTAAAGAAACAAGTTAGTTAGACCATTTAAAGTTATTGTCACTGCATTATTATCTGTTTTCAGTACAATTCATAAATAGAGGTAATTAATTCACCGATAAAATACTCACCCATTAAATGTATACATATATATATATATGTAGTAACAAAATTATTTCCTTTCATGCTAAAAAAGTAGCAGTAGTATTCATAGTACTCTATTGTTTATTGATTTGGTTTCAACCACAATTTTTGTTTGTAAGAATAAGTTAAGCACAAAAGTGAAAATTTTCACCTAAAATTTGGCACCACAAATTTACATCTAACCTCTCATGTGCCTTAACAACCTCTTGGTGAGTCGATGCCGTGGTGCCCAAAAGGAGTGTTCCTTTGTTATTAATTTTAGAAGCATAGATCTTTTTCAATTATTAAGAGTTAAAACTTAAACGCTGAATAATACGTTTAATCATGATTTTTTAAAAAATAAATTTGAGTTTTAGAATTTGAAAAAATAATTTAAAGAAATACTTTGACTCCTAATTACCTTGAAAAGGTCAAACACAATTTCAATTCATATTCATAGTCAAACACAAGAATTTTTTAATACCATTTTCACTTTGAAAGTTTTTTTTTTCAAATTTCACAATAAAACATGGTCAAACTCATTCAAATTCTCCCTCCATCTCAAATGACTATTTAAAAAAGGGCAACTTTCACATATAGCAAACAAAAAATTTATATTTGTATGCTATAACAAAGTTTGCATAATTACGTTCCATAGCAAACATAAAATTGTATAATTCGCTATACATATAAAATTGTATAATTCGCTGGCCTATTTCGCTGTAATTGTATAATTCGCTATCCCATTTCGCTGCGATTTATAATGCACAATTGTATAATTCACTGTCTATTTCGCTGCAATATTTTTATAAAATTTGTTTTGCATACAGTTGAATCGAATTAAAATGTATGTATATTGCATAATTATAAGTGTATAGCAAGAAGATATATGTTTTTTTCTCCCGCTTTATAAAAAGCAGAAACACAATATATACACTTCTGTTGTATAAAGCTAGAGAAAATTGTATTTCATTGCAATTGTATAATTTGCTAACCTTTTTCTCTGTAATATTTGAAGTAAAATGTTTGTAAATTGTATAATTAAGTGTATAACACGAAGATATATATTTTTGCATGTGTATATACAATTTTCTCTCACTTTATACAAAACAGAAACAGAATCTATACACTTCTGTGTATAAAGCGAGAGAGGCGAGCGAGAATAGAGAGTGGCGAGCGAGATTTTAGGGAGAGAGACGGCTGACAAACTTTAGCTAACGTTTGCTATGGAGCACAATTAAATCAAACTCTAGTTACTCCATTTATTTTAGGTTATTAGTTTGCTATTATATACAATTTTCTCTTTAAAAAATGAGTTATCTCAAATTATTTATTATTTTAAAAGTTCAAGACATAATTAATATTTTCCCCCCATTTTATCATTAAATGGTAATTATGAAAATATAATATACATTAACAGAATAAATGTTCGACATAAATAATTATATCATAAAACACAAATAATGGTAAAATAATTAAAAACTTCTTTCAATTAATATATATATATAGTTTTTTTTGGGGGGGGGGGGAGGGGGATACGTCCTAGTACAATTTTCAACGGTCTCAAATATTTTTGTATGCTAATGTACATTGAACTTTGTCTTTCAACTTTGAATTATCATAATCCCTCTAATTGTTTCCAAAAAATAAGTTCACAATTTAAATCTTCATATAAACCCTCTTTGCGTTGAAACCGTGTTATTCTGTTCGATCACTTTTATTTATTCAGTTTGAATATTATATGGTTTAAAAAATAATAATTAATATGAATATTTTATCAAAATATTTATATTAGTTGTTACTATTTAGTCAAATTAAATTTTAAACAAACAATTTGAGAAACAAATAATTAATATTGATGGTAAAACATAAAAAAGAATCACTTTTACTTATTCAATTTGAATATTCTACGGTTTAAAAAATAATAATTGATATAAATATTTTATCAAACAATTTGAGAAATAAATAATTATTATTGACGGTAAAACATAAAAAAGAAAAGAATTTTTTTTCTTGACATGCTAAGATGACAAATACAAATGACAATATATTTTTATTATAGTGAAAAAAGTAATGAACAGAGGAAATGATACACAAACTTTTAAAATTATATCTAAATATATGATATAACTTTGAGTACCAATGCAGATTTGAATTTCGGAACTGGTATTTCATACATATTCAGCTCCATGTAGTGTGAATATTAACGCGAATTTCCAAATTTTGAGACGTAGCAATTTCCTGTCAATATTCACACTAATATGTAGTAACGTATTAAAGATTTAATTGATTGTTTGAACTTTATATATTTTTAATGTTATTTTTTAAAAAAAATTATTGAGTTCTAAAATACTAACTCATACATATTAATTAGATTTATCAAGACAAATAATATATTACCGAGTTTTAACAAAAGTTTAAAGTTGTGCAAATTTATGAGAGAAATCGATTAATTAATCTGAGGTGATGAAAGTTTAAGCTTAAAATTTTACTTATACTTAGTTGAAATGAGAAACTCATATGGTATAGTGGCAGATAAGTTTATGTCTGAAAAATCCAAGTAGCAAGCAAGCAAGGCGGTGTGGATTGAAATAAAAATATCCCCAAACAATCCAGAATATTTATGAAAAGAAAAGCCTGTTTCCTTTTAAAACAAAAATAACACTACTTTACTAATTTTCAAATAAAACCAAAAAATTTGAAATTCCAAAAATATATATTTACATGAAACATCAAGTGGTAGTCTATGTCTCTGTGTGTCCTCTTTCAAGTACTATATACCTAGGTAACAATACCCTCCTTTAGTTAACCAATTCTGTTTTATAAATCTCAATGTATTGGCTAATAATTAAGAGCCCAATAGGAGTCCCTAGCTAGCTTCATTGTGCTCCATAGCAAATATAAATATGTATATCTCGATATATATATATATCTCGATATATATATATATATATATATAGTTGTTTAATTCGATATACATATACAAAGAAAAAATTGTATATAATTGTATAATCTGTATATGTATAAAACAAAAAAAAAGAAGAGAAAGACAAAAGAAAACTGGGCAGGTGAATATTTGTATAATTATAAGTATATAGGCAAAAGATATATATATTTACATGTATGTATACAATTTTCTCTCATTTTATACAAACAAAAACACAATTTATAAATTTCGTTTCTATTTGTAAAAGCGAGAAAGGCTGGGGTGGTAAGTGAGATATGGGAGAGGGGAGAGATGGAAACGAATATATATGTATATATACAATTTTTCTCTTACTTTATACAAACACAAACCCATTTTATACATTTATATTTGTATAAAAGCGAGAGAGGTGAGCGAGACTGCTCCCAAACGAGAATAGTGAGCAAGCTTCCACAAGAGAGAGAGACAAAAATAACAATAATTTGCAATAGAATACAAATAAATCAAAGTATATTTATACCGTTTAATTTAAATTAATAATTTGTTATTGTGTACAATTTTCCCTATTAAGAAATGCATAGTCTAGGTTTAAGAAAAGGGCCCAAGGCAACAATTTAACTAGACCTCCGCCTCCCCATGAAACCGAATATAATTAGTATTGGATAATGCTTCTTTTTAACATCAAGTATATATAATCCTTTAGTACACCCTCCGATTATGATTTACTTGTTAAATTTTAATTTAATAAGTCTATTAAGAAAATAATATCTGATATAATAAATTTATCATTTTACTCATATTTTGATAAGGTCTTAGACATATTTACTCAATGAACTCAATTTTAATAAGTTATGGATATATAATAGGAAAAATAAAAAATTTCTTTTAATTTGTCAAAAATAACGAATAAAAAAATAAAAAATATTTGTGAAGTAAATCAACAAAGGAGAGTAACATAGTTTCATAGAAGAGAGTGCTTAATTGTTGTATCCAACTATTTTTTCAACCTCTGGACTAGAGCATCACGAGCTCTACACGTTCGCTCTTTCATCTTTAACTAGTCTATTTTTTATTAGATTCTATTACATCACATTCCCACAGGAGGGTGTTTGGTCTAGTGGTATGATTCTCGCTTCGGGTGCGAGAGGTCGTGAGTTCGATTCTCGCAACACCCCCTTATTTTTTCTCTTTTTTATCCAAAAAAAAATTTCAGGCCAAAAATTAAAAAAGTTTGCACCAGCCGGGAATCGAACCCGGGTCTGTACCGTGGCAGGGTACTATTCTACCACTAGACCACTGGTACTTTCTGTTATTTGCTCTTGTTTTATTTATATAAATTCTTTTGCTTATACTAATGGGATGTGTAATATGCGTTTATGATGAGGAGTTATATGGAATAATAGCTGCCTGCATTGTTGGATTACCAATTATTACACTTTCAGTTTGGAGGGTGGTTGTGTTATATTGTAATTATATTGTACTGTTTGAATTTAAAAAAATGAGATTATTAGATAATAAAAGAAGAAGAAAAAAACAATTTTACCACACTTTTAGTGAATAAAAATAAGATCACCAGAAAATAAACAAAGAAAAAAACAAGCATCCCACCAAATTGGTGTATACAATACAACAAAATTCAAATAGAAATTAAAGTAAGCATAGCATCAAATTAACAATACTATACAAAGTATCGGCCAAGTGAGATGGCCTCAAGAGTCTTGTTTTGCTAAGGAATTACAGTGAACAATCTTGTAACTGTACAGAATTTCTAAAATCTACTGCAGTAGTTGTTAATGAATGCAGTAATATTATTCTTTCTTTGTTTATTTTTATGTTTTCTGTTTATATATCTCGATTGCAGGAATAATATTTGAGTGATTACAACTGAAATACAATACATTATGACGAATAATCATGTCGAAAATGAAGAATAAATAAAGTAAAAGGGAGATATTGTGTTTGAAGGTTTCCACTATGTGTGGCTACAAGGAGGAAGTGGAGCTCCACACAAGCCATGATTTCCCAAAAATGCAGACTTTGGGATTTTAGCTTTATGAGGAGGGATACTACCGCTTAGTCGATTTTCCGATACATCAAATTCTTGTAGGTCTTTCAAATTCAGAACCTGAGCTGGTATTGCACCTTCCAAATTGTTATTTGAAAGTAGAATTGTTTTCAGTTCTTTGGCATTCCCAAGTTCTGTTGGAATCCCACCTGTTAGCCCATTCTCAGCTAGTTTAATTTCCTGCAAAGTTGTCAAATTTCCCAGTGATTTTGGTATGTGTCCTGTTAATGGATTGTGGGACAAACTTAGTGACAAAATAGAGTCCATGACAGGTTCATTCCCTATGTTTTCGTCTAATGGTCCATTGAACATGTTGTATGCAAGATCAATAGAATTGTAGTGGCCAAGGGGGTCTTGAAAATTCTTGGACAAAATTGCTCTCAAGTTGCCTGAAAATCTGTTTGAGTGAAGATCAAGATCCATCAGCAGTGTCAGGTTCTTGAATTCCTCAGGGATCGATGAATGGAAGGCGTTGTTTGACAAATTCAAGAGTGAAAGGTTGGTCATGTTACCAATCCAGGTAGGTAACTTCCCTGTCAAGCCATTGTTTGATAAATCAAGTGTTGATAATGAGGATGAAGCCAACCAACTCGGAAGCTTCCCTCTAATCCCAGTCTTTGCCAAAATGAGACGAAACAGTCCTAGTTTCTTAAACCAGTTTGGTATTCTTGAAAGCCCCAAAGGATTAAATGACAGATCCAATGTCTGTAAACTCACTAACTTCACAAGCTGATGAGGGATTTCACCACTGAGCTTATTTTTCGACAAATCTAGTATCTGTAGATTCTTCAGATTACCAAAACTTGATGGGATTTTCCCTGTAAATAGATTATTGGAAAAGTACATATCAGTGAGAGTTACAAGATGTCCAAGTGTTGCAGGCAGTTTTCCACTTAACTTGTTGTTCTCAAATATTAGCCTTTGGATCTTCGGAAGATTCCCAATAGAAGGTGGAATACTGCCACTCAGCTGGTTTTCGGATAAACGGCAGAACACCAATGAGCTGAGACCAGATATTGATGAAGGGATTTTTCCTCTCAATTGGTTTTGGTTCAGATACATTAGAGATACTTGAGAAAGGTTTCCAATAGAGTTTGGAATCTTTCCAGATAACTCATTCTCAGACAAATCAACATATGAAAGACTTTTCAATCTTCCTATACTCTCTGGAATGCTTCCAAACAACTTATTTCGACTCATATCAAGCTTGGACAATGATACTAAATTCCCAATTGAAGATGGTATTGGACCTGAAAGTTGATTTGTTGATAAACCAAGTTGTGAGAGTGAAAGGAAGCTTTCGAAAATACTCGAAGGGATAGTACCAGATAGAGTATTATCACTGAGATAAAGCTTCTTAAGTTGGTGTAGATATTTAAATGTGACAGGTATAGATCCTGAGAGTTTGTTAGTATCAAGAAAGAGGTAACTCAAGCGCGATAACTTGCCAAATTCAGGTGGAATGGGGCCTGTTAAGTCCTTGAGATTACTAAGATCAAGCAATTCAAGAAAAGAAAGATTAGCAAGTGAAGGAGAAAGAGTTCCAGACATTGAAGTATCGATAATGAAATCGTCCCCTGAAGAAAGGCCAGGGCGAGAGACGTTGACAACCCTTCCATTGGAATTACAAGCAATGCCTTCCCAAGATTTGCAACAATCAGTTGAAAGTGTCCATGATTTCAATAAGTTTGAAGGATCAGAAGTGACTTTTTGTTTAAAGTCTAACAAAGATGTTTTGTCAACCAAATGACAACATTCTGATGGACTTGGAACAAAAACAGAGAAGATTATGTAAAATAAGATGAACAAGAAGGGATTTCTCCAAACACAAATTTCCATATTTGTTGTTATGATTATTGGAAATGAAAATAGATGTATATGATTGAGATTAGGAATTTGGAGGCGTATTAAATATAGAGTAGCTTCAAACAGTTGCCTCATGCTGTTTGAGTAAATTACACACCAAAAAATATATTAGATAGGTCATGCACTAAATAAGAATATTTTGCTTCTATTGTTTAATTGAATTTCCCCCTCTTTAGTTGGCGTGAAATGAATTTAAAACGGGATCATATAGCCGATCTGGACTTATTTTAGTTGCTGTTGCAGTTACACTATCAAATTAATTTCATGTATAGTTATGAATTATTACGATAATAAAACATTAAAATGCGCGAGTGTGACCAAACATTATAGTATCACAATATATATAATTACAGTAGAGAATTTACTT